GCTCCTGCTGGACGGGTCCTCCGAGGGCCCCTCGTCAGCCGTGAGCCCCACCTCCATTCTCGAGACCAAGCAGTTCTGCTGCTCCGCGCTGCCCCCGTTCCTGTCGGAGAGGAGCCTCCGGAGGGCGCACACGGACGCGGCCGCGCCTCCGGAGCCGGCCGGCGTCGGCCTCGCCGACGTGCTCCGGGACCACGGGGACGCCAAGGTCGCCGGGGGCAAGGTGGTGTTCGGGTCCCAGCTCAGAATCCAGGTCCCACCCGGCAGGGCCATCGAGCTGGTCTCCTCCCCGATCGAGTTCGGCGCCAAGAACAGGGACGCGCAGCTCGCGGTGCTGTCGCCGGCCAGGAGGTTCCTGCCGGAGGTCGTGAGCTCGCCGTCCGCCCGGGTGTTCGCCGGCGGCGTGGCCGTCGTTCCCCCCGGGGAAATGGCCATGTCGGAGGACTACACCTGCGTCATCTCGCGCGGCCCGAATCCGAGGACCACGCACATCTTCGACGACTGCATCGTCGAGAGCTGTGGGGATTTGCTAGTCGACAAGGCTGACAAGGCCGCGGCCGCCGTGGCGTGTGGCTTCTTGAGCTCTTGCCATGCATGCAACAAGCAACTTGGACATGGCAATGACATCTTAATCTATCAGTGAGTAATCATCTCTGATTTCCTTCTGTTTCCGCAGTAACGATATTCTGAATGAAAATCCATTTGGGTTCACTGTAGATCAACAGAACTAATTGCTGTATTTTCAGTAATTGATTTGGATTCCTCTGCTCCTTGCTCGTAAAGTTAGATGCATGAATGATATGTTCACATGAGAGGAAGGACAAATCGCTGTCAGACTATTGCCTGTCCTAGAGGAAGCATGAATGAAAAATACATAATGATCTTTTGATGTTAGGAGTTATTTGATAACATGATCTGCTAGATCTGAACCACACAACAACAAAACCAAAAATAACACATTCAGACACGCAGTATATGTGTTACCAGTTTATAAGACTTAAAGGGTGTAGTGTAGCAGGACGAAGAATTTAGCTTCCTGTACTAAAATTGACGGCACCCTGTGTTCTCACAGTGTAATATTTTCCCCATTAGTGACCCAGGAATGTAAAATAACGCTGATTTCATAACTCCTGCTTAGATGATAATAAGTGAATTGTCATAGGTTTGACGCCCTATGGGAGTGAATTTAGGCTAGTTAAAAAAAATCCTATCACCAGCAAAGGCGGGGTTAGGAGATAAAGGTTACGTTCGCTTCGCTGAAAAAACAAGCAAAAACACTGTTCCGGCTGATTTGTTGTGAGAGAAAAACGTTGTTCTAACTGAAAAAAGAATCTGAAAAGTACGGATTATAAGAGAAGCAAACAGGGCCTTTTTAGGCTAGCAATGTTGAGTTCTTTTACTGTACCTTAAAAGCAATGCCCTGGAGAGTTTTGATTATGTACTGTTATTTGACACGAAGATGGCTTTCATCATTGCCTGGGGGACCTTGTGAGTAGTTCTAACGTTGGAGTCGTTTATGACTTTCTGATTGGAGTGTGGATCATACAGTACATATTTAGTGGATCTTATCAAGATTATATCAGCTTTAATGTGACCAATCTTCACTGATAGTTTGATACCCCTTTAAATTTAATACTATACACTGCTTATCGGAAACATGTTGCTTGCTCATTTGAGATCGTGACGCCTCGATTCCCTGTTGCTTTTGAAGGAAACTTGCTCCTTGTTTAAGCCACATATTTAAAATGCAGTGCCACCGTGCATCAAGAGGTCCCTTTGTATGTTTATTTGGAGTAGCTGCTTATAAGATTTAGAATTCCAGATTGTTACGTTTCGCTTTCACATCGAAAACTACGCAAAGGAGTTCATTATCCTATGTGGCAGGGGTTTTTATATTGACAATTTGCAAATTAATTTGCACCCATTGATGCTGCTAAATGAGGTCCACGTCTACTCCTAACTCCTGACCATGAGCAGGACCAGCCATCATCGCCAAAACAAAAGTTTCAACATTGTAGTTGCGAATTTGACAGCGTCTTGATACCAAAAGATATATACCGTGTTTGCTTGGATAAGACGGCGAAAGGGATTTCCTCCTTGTCTTGTTCTCGTTTTTCCTTGCTTGCTGCTGTGTATGATCCATGGGAGTGCTAAACAGTAGCTTTGGGATGTGCTCCCAAAATATTTTTGGTTCGCATCTTTCTGGTTCTCTAATTCCTCGAGCACAGTAGTTTTATTTGTGCCTGTGCTGTTCACAAAGACGTAGCGTGAGCAGCGCTTCTCTCGAAAAGCTGTACACGTTTTCTAATCCATCAGTTAGGTCATCACTGTTCTGTTATGATATAATTGTTCCTTTTTCTCTCTCTCTTTTCTCCAGAGGTGATAAAGCATTCTGCAGCAGTGAGTGCCGGTACCAGGAGATGCTTTTCGACGAAGCAGTGGACAATTTGCGCTAGGCCATGAAGGGAAAGGAGGGTGTTAGTGGAGGAGAAGAGAAGGCATGATGATCCTGAATAACCGAGACGAGATTTCTTTCTTCTTTTTTTCCCCTTTCTTTTGTTTCCTTTCGTTCTGTCACCTTTGCGAGATTGCATGCTGTTTTTGGTCATGGAGGAGGAGGAGGGGAATGATTTAGTCTTTTGCGGATTAAAGACCTTTGGCGCCCACTTTTGTAAGAGGTTGAAGATTGATGACCTGGGCTTCTTGTTCATGCAACTTTCCCAGTTAGTTCCGAGCTATATGATGCTCCCGTTCTGTTCTGCTTCGATGCTTGTCCATGTGACTCACTCATTCAGAGTGGATTCTGAAGTAAATTGAAAGAAAAAAAACTTAGCTTCCTTTGCCCCGTTTCTATGCGTCCATCATCACATTCTGTGCTTGGTAATCCATCAGAATCAGATTTGTACTGTCTAGCAGTATTTTCCAAAAGGATGATCCACAGAATTAAAAAAAACACTGACTTTTTCAGTGATTCAGGGTGCTAAAGAAGGGGTAGGGTGGAGAGCTTGGTGTAGCAGCTAGGCTAGCTCCATGGGGGGCCAGCCGGCCAACCAGCAGCACAGCCAATCACTTGTATAAACTTGTAAGGGCCCCCACAAGTATACTAACATCTCAACAACCCCTAATCATCATAATGTTTTCTGGGAGTGTGCTGGACCGATGCTAGCTGATTGTGATTTGTCCTGGCGTTGTTTATGAGTTCATCTCCACGCTTTGGCCCGTGGACGGTCTGATTCTCTCTTCGCTTTCCTTTCCTACTGCTTTTGGTTTCTCTCTTCTCTGCTACTACTCTACTGCATTATTTCGTCGGCACAGCGTATGGAATTATTGTGAATGAATCAAGCGCTCGTGCTTTAGCAGTTGTTAATCATGGCAAAGGACGCTGCAGCTTTTGACCCTGGAAACTGTTCTGGGAGACATTAGGATGGATGCTTGTGGCCGGCCGTTTGGGCAAAACTGGTAGAGTGGTAGGCATGCTGAATTGTGGCTCAAACTGGTTGAAAACACTGTTCTGACTGAATTTTTGTGAGAGAAAAACACTGTTCCGACTGAAAGACCAAGCTGAATGGTATCGTTTTCTGGGTAACGGGGCAGCTTCATCTGCTCGTGCTTGCTAGTGTCCCTCTCCTCTGAAACTAAGGCGTCAGTATTTATATTGAATTGACGCCAGGCCTTCATCAACTCTGGACAGCTAATGCGCGCTGCACCTATCGATAAGCGCTCTGTTTGTTTGGTCTTGTTAGGCTAATAAGTCATACCTGAAAGTATTATTGGCTGATTTGTTGTGAGAAAAAAAAATTATTCGTTGGCTGAAAAAATACGGCTTATAAGCCAAGCGAACAGGACAATTATTTCTCTGATGGTACCCGAGTATAATATGTGTCTAAGTGACAGGTTACTTGTACTTAGCAAATACAAATTCTGGGGCTGCGTATTACACAAAACAAGCATTTCTCTCACTCACACGCCTTCTGTAGCTCTGCACTGTGTTTTTAATAACAGCGCCTTCTGTACTTGGGCGCCTCACCAGAAAGTTGGTTGCTTTTTTTGGGAAATGGGCTCACGCCGGTGAGGTTTTGGTTGTTATTTTGCCAATTAGTGTAGCAGGGATCATAGTCTAATTGAGGCTTGAAAAGATTTGTCATGCTGAATTTCAAAAAAAATTATAAGAGATGACATGTTCTCACAAAATTAGTTTTATTTTTATTTATATTTAATCCCCCCCCCATGCATGCATCCAAAAAAAAACTATAGGATTTGTGGAGAATCTTAAAAAATTTGATAAGTTTTTAGAATAATACTAAATTTATGACTCGAACTACAGTCACCATGAAAAATGGTTGCTTGTTCAGTTGATAGGGCTTGTTTTGGTGAGGTTTTGGAGGTTTGGTGCCACCTGAGCTATAGCTAGAGGGATGCCTGCGGAAGTATTTGATGGGCTTGACACCACACATTTGTCTAAGAGATGCTATTTTTTTTAAAAAAAAAATTATAAGAGATGATATGTTCTCACAAAAATATTGCAGAAACATCGACAAAGTCATATAGGGCCTATTTTGATCCCACGAAGGTAACAACTACTCCCTCCGCCCCTAGACATGATGAAGTCGCATTAGCTAGAATTCGAACTCAAAGATTTTTATAACCTTGATGTAAATTGAGCTTGATGTTAAATTGAGTTGTATGTTCTGATCAATTGCACGGTCCCAAAAGTCATTGAGCTGCATGCCTGCATGTGGTGACCACTTGCACTCAAAGGTCTAAACTGACGGAGATAATGGACTATAGAATTAAGCTTCAACACCATGTCTTGATCATTCGCCAGAGGAAATTGATTGTTTCTTTGTAGTTGATTGTTTCTTTGTAAGTAGTTATTCATTTTCCTACTGAGACTGGAGTGTACACCGGCACTGCCAAGTTGCATACACAAATTATGGAACGCACGCATCACAGAAACATGACCATTTTCAGGTAGCACAGCTATCAGCACGCGCGACACCGAGTCACGCACGGTCGGACGACAAGAAGCTATAGATCACCGCGTCTCTGGCCTCGCCGCCGCCGCGTCCGGCGATGTAGCGGCGCAGCACCCCCTCCTTGTGGAAGCCGGCCTTCTCCAGCACCCTCTGCGACCGCACGTTGTCCACGTCCGTCACCGCCTCCAGCCGCTCCAGCCCCGGCAGGTCGTCGAACACCCTGCCCACCACCTGCAGCGCGCGCACCGCACCACCGGGCGCAGCCATGGAGACACACGAACACGATCACGATCACGAACGACGCCATGAGCAAGAACACCCGTGCGCGAGCTGGTAATTAGAGTACCATCCTGACGGCGGCAGCGGCGATGCCGCGGCCCCACTGGTCGTGCGCGAGGGCGTAGCCGATGTTGGCCCTGCGGCCGCCCTCGTCGGCATACGGCCACACGGACACCTGCCCCACGGGCACGGGGCGGCCGTCGCCGTCGCCGTCGCTGACGCAGACGGCGCGGAACCACGGGTGGCCCAGCACGGTGTCCCTGATCTGCGCCACGGCCTGCTCCCGCGTGGCGCAGAGCGGCCGCTTCAGGTACCGCATCACGCGGTCGTCCGACGCCCACGCCATGAAGGCGTCCACGTCCGCCAGGCCCAGCTCCCGCAGCGACACCACCGCCGGCGCGTGCTGCTGCCCTCCGTCCCGTCGCTGCCCGTGGTGCACGACGCCGTCGGCCGCTGGCTCCATCGTCGTTGCTCGCCTCTGTCTGAGATTAGCTTAATTTGCCTCCCAGCCCCAGGCAGGCGTGCGCATCGATCGGAGCAACCGTGCGACTTTGATGTGTTGCGATTCGTGTTGGAGTTGTTCCAAATTCACTCCAGAATATAGGCCAGGCTTCTGACGGAGCGAAGCGGAGGCCCGTCGCCGGAGGCTTGGGCCGGAGCGTAGCGGAGTCTGAAGCCGGCCCATCAGGTCTCGCCCCTGTGTTTGGGGGGGTGCGGGGGGCGGAGCCCCCCGCGGTACGGTACAGTATATATACACCCTTGCTAGGGTTTCGTGGTTGACTTGATTCTCTTGTAAGCCGCCATAGGCGTGTAACCCAAAACTCTTGAGATAGTGAGATTGTTGCTGGCTGGTGTCCGTGGTTTTTTTCCCCTTCACATCGGAGGGGTTTTCCACGTTAAATCGTGTGTCTCCTCTGTGGTTTGATTCTTTACTTCATATTCCTATACGTCGTTCATAACAATTCGCGTCAAACGTGTCGCGGTCAATTGGTCGGTCATATGGATAAGAACATGATACTACGAGTAATTAACAATGTTGCACGCACTACCGAATGATCTTATCTTGCTCTCCTTTTGACTTTCCAATTCATAATTTTCTTCTTCAAATTTTCACTCACACACATCATACGTGATGTATGCGCAACAGCAACAGGCCAGGAAGATTATTAGCATCGCAGCCCATCCTACGGCCCATCGGGCTTGTTCTGCTGCCGCCGACGGTCCGTATCCGCATCGACGACGATGCTGAACATGACCATGTCCCTGGGCCGGCCCTTGAGCAGGATGTACTTCCGCAGCACGCCCTCCCTGACGAACCCGGCCTTCTCCAGCACGCGCTGCGACGCCGGGTTCTCCACGTCGGCCACGGCCTCCAGCCGCAGCAGCCACGGCCACGCCGCGAACACGGCCTCGGCCGCTGCCCGCACCGCGCGCGTCGCCACGCCGCGGCCCCAGTGCGCGTGCGCCACGCGGTACCCCACGGACGCCCTGAACAGCCGCCCGTCCTCGGCGGGTCCCGGCTTCACGGAGATGGACCCGACCACGGGGAGGGGCGCGCCGGCGCCGGCGCAGATGGCGCGGTACCACGGGTGAGGCAGGACGTGGTCGGCGATGTACCGGCGGGCCTGGTCGACGTGCTCGTAGGCGTCGCGGCGCTGGAAGCGGACCACGCGAGGGTCCGACGCCCACGACATGAACGCCTCCGCGTCCGCGTCCGACAGCGTGAACTCGCGGAGGGAGACCACTAGCTCCGCCGCTGGGGCAGGGGCTCCTCCCTGCTGGACCTCCATGCTCCCGTCGTCGCCACAACGCCTCGAGCTCGAGCTCGCGGGCTGTCACGTAACGTGAACTCTCCGGCGTGTCTCTGCTCGAGTGTATTGTGTATATGTAGCCGGTCTTGGTCTCTTGGATGAGCCGACAAGCTTGACCAGACACGACGGAGGTGTCGTAGTAGTCCATGGTGTTGACTTGAGCATTCCGAAACCATGCGCCGCTGCCTCCAAACGATCTCTTGTGACGTGTGCAACTTGGGGCTGCGGTACACGTCAGCGTGGTTTCAGCGGGCGGGGTTGCTGATTTCTGTTTGCTATCTCATAATCACATTAACATTGGATGCAAACTGTTCGGATTACATACACACTAATAACTTGCTAATGACAAACCACAGGACCAGGGCTTTCTTCTCTTGAAATATAACTAGAAGATACCCCGCACGTTCGTTGCGGGTATTACAAAGAGTTTGGAATGAAAATGAGTGGAGATGATGTATGTGGATAGCTTGCAATTAGAGATTGAAAGTTAGTGAAAGGGCTTTCTTCTCTTGTCATATAACTAGAAGATACCCCGCACGTTACTGCGGATATTACGAAAAAATTGAAATGAAAATGAGTGGAGATGGTGTATGTTGATAGCTTGCAATTAGAGGTTGGAAGTTAGTGAAATGACTTTATTGAGGTATGATGTGGATGCCTTGCATGATAAGATAGACTTATAGTGGCAAATATAGATAAGCTAAGAACATATGAGCACCTCATCACTAGAATAAATAAATCCAAGAAAATATGATCACCCGCGTCAAGTCAAGAACTTAAACTTGGGTGGACAGGTTCCACCATAAGAATCCCAACCAAATCAGCACTAATTATAATAGTGTCATGAGCCAATTATACCACAGAATATACCATTGCTCTTGAATGCTACTTACTTATCTTCTCATAGTAACCACCACATGCTTTTTTAAATTTGAACGGTGTTGGACGGTTGGTTGATAAAAGACGATTTCTTTGATTTGGTTGCAAATGTGTGGCAATTAGAAACTTGAGACTTAATTAAATGCCGTAAATGACATAACAAATACGAATACGTAGAAAGTTAGTAGAAAAAAAGAAACTCATCACCATGATTGATGCTATTGATAAAAGAAACTGCACCATCTTTAAATGTGATATTAGCATGCAACATTGAGGCACAGAGACTACGGATACATAATTCTCCATCTACTTAGATTGTAGCCGCGTGATGGCCATGTTGAAGGAAGAATGCTGCATCTTGATGTGTTGGATGTCTGACAAATTGGTCTCAATCAAATAGGCTGTCAATATTGGCACTGTTTGATTAATTGGGCTTGGCCCATAACTAGTCCATCAATTAATCAAAGAATTTCAAAGACCCACTATTAGTGCTAAGTGGGAGTGGGATTAGTACCTCATGAAAAACCCACTAGGAAGGTACTCAACTTAAATAGGAAGCTAGTGTGTACTCCTATAGACAAGTTGAGGAGGAGAGTTGGGGGCCACACAAGTGCATCATGTCATGCCTTGCTGAGCTAGGCCGCAACAGACGTGATGTGCTGGCCACCTTTTGGAGCTCAGGACAACAGGAGATGGTAAAGGCAACAATCAACAAGGGGCACAAGGGATAAATGAGTGGGTGCAGAAGGATAGGATGTGAAATTACTGTTCTACCCCTTCTAGAATCCATCCAGGTTCATCCCCGTAGTCTCTATGCGATCTCCGGCCTAAGTCCCTTGCCCCTACAAGGGGCTTGGGAGAGTAGGCCTCTGAAGCTCCGTTCGCTTGTGTACCTGCAAGGATAGACAAATATCATGTTTTGGGGGAGCGCATCTGCGTGACTGCTCTTCGTCTGTCGAGCGAATGACTATTTTGACAATCGCTCGTGGGGCTTCACTGCGTACCTCTCCCGCATCGAGCCTATATTGACTACTTCGAGCACGCCATCATGACTTAGTCAGATGGTAACAGTGCCCCCTACCTTCGTCACGGGTTCAACCCAAGGGTACAGTCTAAACTTATCTTTGGCGCATTTGGTTATGTGCGCTATGCATCTATTGGTAGGATCTGCTACTAGCTTGTTTGCTAGCAGATCTGCGTACACTTGTCAGTGTTTTATAAACCAGACTAGTAAACTTATACGATTGCCGCGCTGCTCTAGGAAGACGATGGTAGCATCCAATAGACACGAAAGGTGGAAGAGATGGAAGGTCCTATGCTAGGTGAAGGGCTGCCCAAAGAGAAGCTCTAGGAGCCCTACTACAATGATGAATGAATGGAATGGTAGAGGATGTGAATCGTCCCTGAGATGGGTGCCCTGGCTGCCCTTATATAGAGTTTGGGGCTAGGGCTTATACGAAGAGGAGGTTATCCTGACCAAAGGGTCAAGAGCCTGAGGGAGGGCCTAGCTAACTTGGCTTGCAAGCTACGCCGTCTTTTGGTGCACGTTCGGTCATGACCATCGTCATGATCTTCTATCCACGTTGAGGCAGGATGTGACGTGGCACTACTGTGCCGGCCGTGGCGGTACTGTAGCCTCGATGGTGGTTCGTTAGCCGTCCTGTGCAAGATGGTGTCCGTCGTGGACTTCGTCATCGTATCCTGTCTCCTAGGGGCGTCGTACCCAAATTAGTTAGCCGCCCTAGTCATTGATTACTTGGTCGCTTTGAGGGGCCGAGGGCCATGACCCCGATCTTCAGGGTCAGGGCATCCTGCCGGTCTGGATGGCCTTTTCATCGAGTCCCTTGTCGTGGATCCCATCCCACAGTGGGTGGGACAGTATATCCGTACCACCGGGCGTATCTGGTCGGTGGTCTTCATACCCGTTATCACCGCTTTTGAGGTTGTGTTGTCTTGTCCATGCGGCGTGGCACAGGATTGGTGTCTGACCGGGCTGAGGTGACTATTGTCCCCTCGGTCCTTGTGGGGTCAGTGCAGCGTTCTCGCTTTTGTCAGAGCAAGAGCGCTTGGCCAAACATGACCTCTCCCCATCCCTTCGAGGGTTGTAATGGGGAGAGGTCGTGTGCTTTGAGAACGTCATGCGACCAGGGCTGGAGATTGGTTCGCGACCGACCCCGACCTTAGTTCCTGACTTGTGATGCTCATGTTTTGCTAGCCGCGGTCGCTTGGGCCTATCCTTGCTGATGTGTTGCGGGCCACGCGGCCTGCTATCTAATTGGTGCCTTGAGATACCCCATGGTTATAATCCCGATAGTAGCCCCCGAGCGTTTTTGCGATCGCAAAGCGATTGTGAAAGCACTAGTACGCATGTGTGCTGTGACGCGGGCTCATTCTCATGGCCTGCTCAAGCTTTGCCGCTCGACCCCTGGTGGGTTGGTGCGACCGGTGTGGTAGGGGGTCGCTATGTTTTGTTTTGTGAGGACATCCTAACGTTGTGGCTTGTGACTGCTGGGCTTTATCACATCAGAGAGCAGTGTGTCTGGTTTGCGATCTAGGAGGGGCCTCGGAGTGGTCTTTGTTGATGCTGCTTTGGTCTTGCCTTTGGGGAAGTCTCGATTTTCTCGCCCTTGAGTGGGCATCCGTCGTTGCCCGTGACCTTTTGTGGTCCGCCATGTGGCGAGGGGTTCTCGGGCCGCTCAACCCACTTCTAGGTCTATAAGTTAGGGCTTCTTTCCTGTTCGAACTACCCCTAGTGCCAAGTTTCCTCTAACCTCTTTGAGGAGCTTAGCTTTTGAAGGGGAAAGAGAAGAAAGGTTTCCGAAGAGAACCTCATGGTTCCTAAACATGCGTCCTACTGAGGATCGTGGGTGACAACCAGAGGCCATGTCTGTCCGTCCCAACAATCGATGTTGAAGGGATCTCGTGAGTCGGGGGGCAAGGGTTAGTATGGCCACCATGTTGGGTCATGCACGATATTGGCGTGCCATCTCATCACCATCTCTTGCTCTGAGCCTGGGCGGCTCGTGTGCTCGAAATGGACGATGGCCGGAGTCGCTTCGGCTCCCCTCGGAGGTTTATGCGTTGGTCGTCGGCCCGCTCGGACTGCTGGTGGAACGGGAGGAGGATGAGGCAATGCTTCCCCTTCACTCCACCCCCATAAGATGGGGTAGTATGGTGACGTGGCCGTATCGCTACTATCGGTTGCTCTCTCTTCAGGCTCACTTGGAAGGAGCCTTTGTCACGGGGCATTCGACTCCTACGCTATCGCGAGGTTGGAGTTGTCGCATTCCTCCCTTTGGTCTTTGCAACCCTTGGCTTGGCCTTTAGCCTTGTTGTCAATCGGCATCACCATCGAGGTGACGCCTTTTTGATGTTTTGGCGGTGTGGCTGCTTTTATACCTGCCAAAGGAATTTCCTTTTTGATACTTCTGAGCAGCCTTTGCCGTGAGCCCCCAAGCCACAGGTTTGGGGTCGTCCCTTTGACCTAGGCTCACTTGGAAGGACTATTTTTGCCTTGGTGTCACGGGGGATTGTTTCCCTGACCTCTTACTGCACGGTCGTGAGGTTTCTTGCAGTCGTACATTGGCTCGTAGGTCTTGGACCTTTTTGTCTTTTCCACGGGACCAAGCCGTGATCACATTTTGGAGTTCCACATTGCGCATCACCCCGGCCTTTTGCTTCGTCGTTCTCTCCCGGAGAGGTCGTGGACCCCTGATGGTTTATGAGTCTCTAGAGCAGGCCTCAGGTCTGAGACCTAGGACATAGGGAGGAATCAGTCGTAGCTAGGCCTTGACTTCTTTCGGGGTCACAGGGACCCAACTCCATTTATTCTTTCCTGGCATCCTTGATGACCTCGAGAGGTCATGTTGCCTTGTCATAGGTGGGTTTGTTTTCGCCCCACGCGGGGAGAGGCATGTCCACCATAACCACGTGGCCAAAGTGGTGTGCCTCATCGGGGTCTATGGGTAATTCGAGCGGGACCCGATATCCTCCCCATCAACGTGGGGTTAGCAAGTTATCTTGTGATTTCCAACCTCATGTGTGAAGATTGGGCCACCCCAGGAGGTTTCCTCATGAGACTTTTCTGGCGTCCTTGATGA